GGGCAGGAGGAGCTCTGGATCCCCCCGCACGGCGGGGCGGGAAGCAGGGGGGCAGCTCTGCCCCCCCCCCTCCCCGGGCACAGGCCCGACGTGCGGGGCTCCTGCCTTCTCCCGGCGCTGCGGCGGCCAACTCGCCTCTTCCCCGAGAGAGCAGGGTCGGATGGGGGGGAGCGGGGAGCAAAAGGGCTTGTGACTCGTCTTTACAACATGTCAGCCCGTTAGAGCAGCCCTCCAGCACGGGAAGGCTTTGGGGCCGCAGAAACAGAGCAGCCACCAGAAAATTTGCATTCAAGGTCAGGCTGCCCGCCTGTTCGTGTTGATCTGGCACCCAAGGGAGCACCGTGGTCCCTCTAAACTTCACTTCCCTTAAGATAAGGTCTATCCTATAGAGCTTATAAAACCATTGTCCTACGGACCTGCCCTGACGTCTGAGTCTCAGCTTCAGCTCAGGATGTTTCTGTTTCGCTGCTTGAGCAATCTTCCTTTCCCCTCGGAAAGGCTCCGCTTCACCCAGCTCATGAGTCCCCAGGGCAGCCTAGAAGGGGATGCCCTTACCCTAGCCAGGTGGGTCGGAAAAGGTTTTAACTTTGTATTTCTGACTTGAATTTCCAGTCACTTTAAATCTTTTTTACCAGTGTTACAAAGATATTACTGATGTTGGAGATTTTGAAAACCTAACTGGACATGGTCTTTGGCAACTTGCTCTAGCTGACTCAGCTTTGAGAGAGGGGTGGGACTAGAGGGACTGAGGTCGCTTCCTACCTCAGCCATCCTGTGACTCTGTGACAGAGTTCACATCTGCCCTGGAGAGAATGCATTAATTTACTTTGATGCACACCTATCTTCTGATAAAATAAACAAGCAGCCATAGAACAAATGACAACATTGAGTAGATGGCCTGAGAGCAATACAGGAATTGGGATGCATATGATTTAGCCCTTGAACACTTCTGTGAGCTAGCAACATCCAGTCATAATGTCACCAAACCCAATAATAATAATAATAATAATAATAATAATAATTTTTCACACCAACCTCACCTAACAGTGAGGGACACCGAGGGCCAGGTTCTCCTGCACTGCCTGGGAAAAGGGAGTGAGGGAGAGCCCTGAGTGAGGGGCGAGCTGAGAGCCATGAGTGTCTGACGGGAAACCATCACAACATCTTAAATGAGCTTAGGGCAAACCGGTTATGACATTTTTTTAATTGATAAAGTGTTCCAGATGTTTCCTCCCCTGACTGAGAAGTGTCAGAATTGATGGATAACAAGTATGTAGAGATGCAGTGTTTTAAGGAGGTATGAGGAAAGCAGCTTTATTTGGAATTCACACTCTCAGTACATTTGTAAGTAACAGATTCATACTTCCTAACGTTTGTCTCTTCTGTGCACTCCTGTTGAGATGGTCATGAATAGGACTGTCAAATCCATTTCGTAGAGCAAGTAGACTTGAAAGTTGAGATATTGTGAGGATGGTGTGTGGTTTAAAATGCCTGCGTAAACATGTTATGTAAGGACGGAGAGCTAATTGCATCATTTGTCACTTTTCATCATCTCCACTCAGAAAGATGTACACAAGGTTGTATCTATAGCTGGCTACCTAAATATTAGCCTTGTGTTACAGGGCAAATACGGTGAAAGCCAAGCAGAGCCAAAATGTGTAACCGCCGCCAGCCCAGAGCAAGCGAAGCTGTGATACAAATGTCCCCTATGGGGTTATGTATGTCCTACACTGTAATCTTACGGTTTCCGATCACCGGCTGGTAGCTTCTGTTACGAGAGTAGCGGGGTTGACGTTGCCAAACAGTTTCTGGTTTTACTGCTTAACATAAACCCGATCGATCGCCGATACTGTTAAATATTTTTATGGAGATGCAAAATCCCGCGCTGGGAGCTTTACCTGGCGTGCGTGCGGTAAAGTATCCACTGGCAAGTTAACAGCAAGTCAATGTATTAAAATGCCGAGAGTTTGACACGATGGATGGAGAATTAATTGTTGCTTTATTTCGTAAGACGGCGCGTTTATTGGTGGAGGCATTTCTATGTCAGGATCCGAGTTCTGTGCTAATAACGTGGGCAGGTATTTACAGCTGCGTTTTTCTTTCTCGAAGCAGCAGCGTATTTCTTCCCTCTTTCCCCGTGTTTCATTTGCCTTTTTTTAAGTTCACGATCCCCTTCCTAAAAACTTGAGCCGATGCTTCTCCCTTCTGCGCCGAAGCCCTAAGCTTTCCTAAACCTGTAAGGCCTCAGCGCACGCCGCTGCAACCCTAACCCACCCTAGCGACGCGAACCCTGCAGGCCGTGTTCTCCTGCAGGTGAGAAGCATCGGAACCGAGTCGGTTACGAATGTTTTGCAGTGCTTTTCCTTCAAGCCAAGGACGGGGATTTGACGCGGGACTGCCCTGCAAGCGTGCGTGAGGGAGAGGGAAAGGGAGAGCGACTCCCTCTTCTGGGTTAAACACTCAGATTCAGCCTAAACATCACGATTTCTCGCATTGCTCCGGCAGCCAATAACCAGATAATTGCTAAAACTTGTCGAAGGAGGGGAAGGGGACGGGCCGCCTTCCAGCAGTCCTTTGTCAGGGCTCAGGCGGCGGTACAATGGCCCGAGCCCCAGGCCGAACGCGTCAGCCTGGCGAGCGCGTC